ATGGTACAATTGTTTACAAAGTTTCAACACCTAAATTGGTGATTATGATTTATAATCCAAACAGCCTTGTGTTCCCAATTATGCTACATAAATGAGGGATATTGCTGTACTGTACTTGAAGTACATTGTTAGGGATTGGCCACCCACAATGCACCCAGCATGACTGAATGAATATCTGTGCCCTCCCTTCAACACCTCTTAGGCCTCTCTGCCTGGCCTGGAGATGGTTTTCACAGCATCCTCTTTCTTCCTGTTATTGTCTGGGACTGCTGCCCAATCCTTGGTCCCCACCTGCAAGGAGAGGGGCCTATCTTAGGGCTGAGACTAGGACTGGAGAAGAGCCAATGGGGCAAGGTCAGTATATCTTCAAGGAGTGAGAACCCTGGGAATGAAAGTAAGTTCATTTAACTTATTAATAGCTCCAGGAAAATACGAGATGAGCTACAAGGTCAAAATCAATGTCTTGAATGAAGTTTGTGTATTCTCAATGCATTTAAGTGTCACATAGTATCTTTGTCCTGCTATTACTGAGAAACCAGTTATATTTAACTAAGTTAGCTTAATGCTAAAAGGTGATTTTATGTGTGTTTGATGAAGCCCAAACAGCCATCATTAGGTATAAGCATTTAAGCCGTAAGCAGGCAAGCTTCTGATGATCTTCTTGAGACAAGGAGAATAAATCATTAAACATATACCTCTAACTTTACCTATCTTTGCTTCAAATTACTTAGTTCAATCATCTTCCCTCTGACTCAAGTTTACACTATTTTGGTGGCTTCTTTCTCTTTTATTAAGCCACTTCTTTGAGAGAGTTATGAAGGTGATGTCTAAAAAATAACTTTAGTAATTGCTAACAGTGATGGGTATGAGGTTTGGTTTTTTTTTCAGTATATGCTGAAAAACTGCAAAAGGAAAGTGAGAAATCCTTACTTAGCATTTTCATACTTGAAAGGATTAAGAAAAAGGAAAAAAGCAGTTACAACTTTTGAAACACTTGAAAAATAACCCATTTAGTCATATACAAATTTTCTTCACCTACAATCACATATATTCTATTGGAACTAGATATGTAGGTATAAATATCACCACAATCCAAACCCCAAATCTAAACATCATTTCTAAAAGCAAAAAAAAATAGTCCTTCTCCATATAGTACTGGGTTTCAAGGCTGGGATCTTTGAGAGAACAGTCTTAAGTTATTGTTTAAACAACCTTTATTACCTGCCTTTGACATTCCACAGGTTACAGAGCAAGGGACATCTGAGCTTCGTGTTCCATAGATGAAGCAGACAGCTGCCATAACAGCTGAATCAATATAGGAGAGGCATTTGGAGGTATTAGGGTGATAACACCCAGCAATTGTTACCCATGGCAAAAGATGGATGGCAAAGCTACTAAAAATCACGCAAGTTACCTTTGGGTGACAACTAGATTCAAGAAAAGCATACAGCTGGGGTCATAGGTCTTCCCCTCCCTTTTGTGCCCCCCTCCCACTGCATTCCCCATTAAGTCCATTCTGTTCCACAGACTGGTCCCAGTGTTCTGCTAGCTCCCTGCTGAAAGAGAGAGGGAGGGAAATAATGTCTGAGGTCTCTTCATGTTCTTTGTCTCTGTCCCTAAGGCAACAGGAAGCTGGAGCTGCTGCAGCCAGCCTGGCAGTGGTGGCAAGTTCATTGTCTCTGCAGAGTGAGCAGTCCCTGGCAACCCCTGGAGCAGCTGCCAGTTAGACCGCCGAGCGTTCTGATAGACTTCACTGCTTCAGTTCAGTGCCAAATGTTGGACGTGTTGGATTCAGTTCACACAGAGGGCTGGAGCGTGGTGACAGGGCTGTCTGAAGACAATTGAGCAGAGGCAGTTTAGTGCATTTGGAAGTGCGGGATGGGGGCAGGAGGGGGGCGTGGAGTGGAGGGGTAGGGGAGAGGAGGGAGACAAGGGGGAAACTGGCCGGGAGTGGGTAGGTCTCCTGGCCTCTCATCACTGTCTGGGCCGCAGGTGAGGCTAACCCTGGAAGGAAAGGAAAGGAAAAGCCGGGGCCGCACCCAGGATAAGCGAGATGAGGAGGGTACAAGCGAGCTGAGGATGTGGTTTTAGACCCCCTCGGTGCCCTGGGTGAGGGCGGGCAGCCCCCCGGGAGTGAACTGGTGGCGGCCCTCAGCCAGCGAGCTGGTGGCCGTCTCGGCGTCGGCGGCCAGGGCGCCGCCCGTGGCCCACTGGTGCTCAGCGCAGGACTGGGACGGGTAGTCCTTGGCCTCGACGAGCTTGCGAGAGCGGGTGTAGGCCAGGATGAGGCCTCCGGCCAGGCAGGCGTAGAAGATCATGATAAGCAGGATGTAGAGATAGGCGTCGTCGCCCTTGGCACTGGTCACCTCGCGGCCCACGAAGGGGTCAGGCACGACCCCCATGCCCATGCTCGGGCCGGGGCCGGCGCCCAGGCCACTGGCATTGCCCCGGTGGTGCAGCTCGAGCAGTAGGCGGCTCAGGAGGGTTCGCAGCCGCTGGCTCTCGCTGCAGTTCATGGCTGTTGGAGAGTGACAAGGAGGCTCCAGGACGCTGCTGACCTTTCCCCTGAGCGAGGGGAAGCAAGCGAGCGATGGCAGTGGCACCCAGCTCTAGGGCGGGCGGCGCAGTGGCTGGGGGCGCCAGCCACCCGGGCCTCCTTATCCCGCACCCCTGCTCCTCCTCCCCTTCCCCACCACGCCCCCTCCTGCCCCAGGCCGCCTCTTCCCAGGCTCCGGCTGTCTCGCCGCTCCGGGGAAAGAGGACAGCTGGTGGAAGGAGGAGAAGGAGACAGGGAGGGAGCGAGGCCGGGAGAGGGGCGGAGGGGGCGGGTGTTCGGAATGCGCGAGGCCCCAGGCAGCAGAGTCTGGCCAGGCAGCTTGCCGGGGCCAAGCCTGGACCCTGGGCTGCGGAAGAGAATTCCTTCCAAGCTCTGGCCACCTGCCCTACAGGCCTGGCTTTGGACTAAATACAGTATTTGGTCCCCCTCAAGGCAGGCCCTGCCCCAGGGTTCTATCAGCCCTTCAGTAAAGCAGCAGTTGAGACCGCTTGTCCTCATCTTTTGGCAATTTCTCTCATAGACAAGGGCCCTGGCCTATCTTTTAGCCCTCATTCCTTCTTCTGGCCTGAGGAGAGCATCTTATTCAGAAGATGTTCAGACCAAATTTGGTGACCGAATGGTCAGGAACTTGCAAGAAGAACAAAGCAGAGTAGGATGCCCTGGTCTTGCAGAAAGGTTTCTGATAATGCACCAGCCTCCTTGGAAGTACCTCTGCTCTGGTCTCCTGTCATATTTTTAGAGGTGCCCATATATCTTAGCATGTGAGTGTACTATCCATGGTGTGACCCCATTTCCCCTAGGTAAGCCATCTTCCTAAAAATGAAATCAAGTTCTTCCATTAAAAGGAGCAGAGACAGTAAAAGGGCCCTTTAACCATACACTCTAGCTGTCTCAGGGTCTGAAAAGTACAGTTCTGGAAAACATGTCCCCCACCCCCATCTAGTTAGGCCAGCACCCAGCTCTGTGCCTCTCCAGAGCTTGGTAACAGATCTAGGGCCCGCCAGCTTATGGGGCAGCCATTTTTTTCTCATAGGGCATCTTCTTTTAGGAGAAAGCAAGGCGCTAAGACAAAGATCAATCCACAGTATGTCGAACTGGAAACAGACTGGGCTTTGTAAAGGAAAAGTGCTCAAATGACTAATATGTGGACAGTGAGTAGGAAAAATAAAATGAGGTAGTGCTGGTCAGGTCTCGGTGTAAGTGGTTGCCAAGGGAGAATAGAAGAAATGAAAGAAAAGTATATGCCCTTATGTACATCTTGAAAATCAAGCTGCCTATTCAAGACCATTCAGTCCAGGGGCCATTCAATCTGCAGGTGCCATGGTTTCAAAAGGAAGGTTTTCTGTTGCTACTGCCTACCATCCTCTCAGGGGCTGCAACTTTCAGTTGCTGGGGTGTGATTGGCACAAACTGTATCCAGGGTTTCAGACAGAGCCTTCCTGTCTTAACAGCCTCTACACAGGTCTCAGAGACATTCCATGTGACCCTGACCATTCATTCCCTCCTAATCATCTTGCCTCAGAGTTCTGGCTTCAGAGGGGCTCAGGGAAGAATTGTTAAAGTGACTTGGCATGAGAAATGCCAGAGGACACAGCTAGGAAATTCTCCAAGCAGTACCAACCTAGGGACAGTACTGTTAAGCTAAAAGACTCCTCCTCTCATCTGTTAAAACATGCCCAGAAATCTCTAGGCTTTTTTGGGGGAGAGTGGGGAGGAAGAAACACCTTCACTGTAGCATAAAAATAATCACTTAAACTTGCATTATACTTTCAACAGCCCTATGAGCTAGTAGGGTTATTCCCATTTTCAGAAGAGGAAACACGTTCAAGTGGTTAAGGAGAAGGGCTAAAATGACGAAGTTTGATGTTGTTCTTCTCAGTCCTAGCACATTACTCTTGTTACCTGAGTGGTATCCATGAGCTGCCTTTATTTCCCCACATCTCCCTTCCCTGGAACCTTCTAGAGTCCAGCACTTTTGCCAAAACAGCTCTATAAGTGAGTTCACTAACAGCCCCCTGGCCAAATTCAAGGGTCTCTGCCCAGTTGGCATCTTTGCTCTCAAGATGAATTTGATACCATCATCCACCCACTCTTTCCTGTAACTGTCCTGCCCTGGATTCTCACGGCGGCGTTGCATTCTCAAATTTCTCTTCTTATCTCTCTGACCCATCATTCTCCCGTCTCCTTTGCTGGCTCCCCTTCTTTTTCCTCCTCCCATTAACTGTTGGAATCCTCAAAGACTCCATCCTCAGCTATTCTCCCTTAAACATTCATGTCCTTGGAAAGTGTCTCCTTACACGGCTCTCCCTACCACCTGGCATGTATTTAGCCAAATGTGAATCTCTAGGTCTGATTCTTCCTTGGTAACATCTCGCAGATCTTCCTGCTCCCTCTTTTCTGGTTTGATTGCCACAAGCTTAACCCAAGCTCTCATTACCTCAGGTCAAATATGCAAACGGAGAGGCTACTGGCAGATCTCCCTGTCTACACCCCAATCCACTCTGCTATGGCTAGAATAATTCTCCTCCAAAACTACTTCCATCAATTCACCCGTTTGTTTAGAAACCCAGAGTTGCTCCCCATTGTTTCTTTAATGGAATCCCATCTTTGTTGGTGGGCCTTAAGTCCTCAACGCCAATAGACACCATCTTTTCCCTTTTGCATTTGAAAAACAGCGTATTTCCGGAGTTCTTCTCCAGTACTCTGTGCCATTCACCTTCCTCAAAATTCATTGACTGAAGGAAGCCTTGCTTGATACCTGTTTATGTTCTCAGAGTCTTTACAATGCAGTCCTCCTGGTAGTGCCCCAACTCAGACTGCAGCATTCGATGCAGAAAATCTATAAAACATAGAAAAACACCAGGAAAAAAAAGATCAATACTGCACACATGTGCAGCATGCATACACACATACACACAGAGCTCAAACATTGTTTTGTAGCCTATCTTTTTCACTTAGTGACAAATTCTGAATTTTTTCTGTCAATTGCTATTTTTATAACATCATTTTATTGTCTACACAGTATCCCAGATTATGGATTGACCATTATATATTTAAATTAGCTCTTATTGTAAGATTTTTGGTTATTTCTGGGGTTTTGCCATTAAAAATAATGTTTTAATGGACATGTACAAGGCTAATTTTAATTCCATTAAAAGAAATAATTACCAGAAAGACGGCACATTACTAATTTATAGAAGACTGGCATGGGGAGTGGGAGATGTGTGGACGAAGGTAGCAACAGAAAGGGAGAATATTCATAAATTTTTAAAAGGCCCAATCCTCAGAAAAAAACAACAGGTGTATGTGGGGGGATTCTGGCCTTCTTTTCAAGCAAGGGGCTGCTGGGCATCCCTTCAAATCCCAGTACCAGGCCAGTCCTAAATGTCTGAGATGCCGACACCCCTTACCCCACCGCACTTAATGACACTGCAAATCCATCAGGCAAGGATTGGGTCTCCTTCCTCCCCAGCCTTCCATCCCCCTTTCGACACCTGCCCCATACCTTTCAAATAATCATCTGTTTATCCATCATCCAGAACTCACTTATTTCCTGAATGGTAATCAAGTGTGTTGACAAAGGGAAGTAATTTATAATCGTGTATTTAGACTTTTAAAATGTCTTGGGAAAAGTTCTGTTCTATTCCAAGGTTGTTTTCAAAGTACAATTGAGGCGCCATGGGCTAGGAAATGCATTCGCCATTCCTTGAGACTGTGAGTGCTTCCTGCCAATAGTGCAGCCCCATGGAAATTGTTTGAACTGAACTGAGTTGAGTTTGGCTGGTTGCCAAAGGACAGGCACAGATGGTAAGCATTGTTGGAGTCCAGGAGGCTGGCAAAGCCACAATGGTCTCTGAGGGAAGGGAGGAAAGAGGTTTCATGAAGCATCAACTACCGGCTGAGAAAGAGTAATTCATTCATTCATTCCTTCATTCAACAAATATTTATTGCATGTTACACTGTGCAAGGCACTGTGCTGGGTCCTAGAGACACATTGGCGAACAAGTCACATTGGTGAAATGCCTGTGGTTTTATACAATAACTCTCACGGTCACTTCTTTGTGAACTGGGGAAAAGCAGAAAGTGCCAGGATCTGGAGCGCAATGAGCAGTGGGTATGGAGGCCAGCCAGAATTCTGGTTTGGAGAGAATTTTGATCCTGAATCCAAAGTTTAAGCACTAGAGTCCAAAGCCTATTTTGAAAAAGGAAGGAAGATTCCAAGTAGTCTGAGCTCACTGTTGTTACAACCCACCCTACCTGCTCTTAACAGCACCATCTCGAGGGTGCAGCCTGCCACAAACCAGCACAGTACGAGCACTCTAAAAAGAAGCAGGAGAATAAATGGGACAGTTGCTGGGTCCAACTGGGGCTTCTCAGTTGTTCCATGGAAATATGTGCAGTATTTTGGGGGAACTGGAGTTTGATAAAGATCACAATATTTGTGTGTTGAAATGGACCTCAGGGGCCTCAAGTACCTACTTTAGAGACTATTGGGGGGTCTTGGTGGACTTGTGCTGAGTTCACCCTGTATCTGGATCACATACTGAGGCATCAAATATGGTCTCTGATCTCATTTAGCAAATGTGCTAGGCATGCGAGGGCTGAAAATTAAGTTCGCAAACTCATTCTAGAAAACTGCTACATACCTCATTGCTGAATATCACTATGGTCACTTTCGAAATACTCCCCTTGGGAAGCTATGTACCGATGCCAGCACTCACTCCACCCTTTAAAGCAATTTTGGAACTCTTTTTCTGGAATGGCCATCAGAGCTGTCATCATATTACCCTTGATGTCCTGAATGTCATCAAAAGGTCTTCCTTTCAATATTTCAATATTTCCTTTATCTTCGGGTAAAGAAAGAAATCATTGGGGGCCAGATCAGGTGAGTAAGGAGGGTGTTCCAATACAGCTATTTGTTTACTGGCTAAAAACTCCCTCACAGGCAGTGCCGTGTGAGCTGGTGCATTGTCGTGATGCAAGAGCCATGAATTGTTGGCAAAAAGTTCAGGTCATCTAACTTTTTCGTGCAGCATTTTCAGCACTTCCAAATAGCAAACGTGGTTAACTGTTTATCCAGTTGTTACAAGTTCATAATGAATAGTCCCTCTGATAGCAAAAAAGGTTAGCAACATCGTTGCAACAAGTTCACGAAGTTAACTCTCAGACCTCGTATTACATACATTGCATTAATTAACCTTACAACAACCCTATGAGGTGGGTGAAGTTGATATAAAGATATTTAAGAGCAGTATGTCTTGGGTACGGACCAGTCAGAATGGATAACAAACAATCAGAATAGATGCTGGCTGGCAACAACCAGTACAGACTTACAGAGACACAACATCATGGGGCGAAGAAATAGGAGAGGGGCACAGACTAAATAGCTTCCTATTTCCCAGAAGGTGAACCTAAGGTCTTATCTCCTTAGTCTTCTGAGCTCTCCTGGGTTATTCTGAACCTCCTTCTTCCCTATGGAAGCTTCCACTTATTCTCTGTGTTCATTGAAGTTATGTTAAAAGCTCCCTTGCCTGATAATCCCTCTAAAGCAATAATATGTATGATATGTATTGCAGCTGCCCCTTTCTCCCAGCAATTTCCTCAGGATGTTACTTGTTGGCTCAAAATCCTTGAAGCAATGGGCCCCATTGGATTGCAAAATATCACCTTAGTGTTGCCTTCAAGACACTGTGCTCTCTTTTGAAGAGGCCTTCCAGTTATATTTGCAGCAGTACCTACACAGCATGTCTTCAATGACAGACACTTTTATTTTCTTTTCTTTCTTTCTTTCTCTTTCGTTTTTTTCCAAATTATTGTCTTCTTATTGAGATATAATTGACATATAACATTGTGTAAGTTTGAGGTGTACAACGTGTTGATCTGATATATTTATACAGAGGGTGCCAATAAAAGTATATGTATTTTAAGGAAAAAATAACTGTTAAAATTGTAATACTCAACATATACCGATAACAAAAGATGAATACAAGTCATGTTTGACTTCTGCAATTACAAGAGGTGCTCAAAGTGGTTACCATCAGCATCCAGACACTTCTGATTATGGCGAACTACTGTGTGAGCAACGTTGACCACAGTGTCCACTTGTATACATTTTTTGGCACCCCCGTATATTGCAATATGATTATCACCATAGCATTAGCTAACACCTCTATCATTTCACATAATTATCATGTCTTTTCTGTGCTGAGAACAATTAAGACACTTTCAACTAGAAGAAATTTAACTCCCCTTAGCAACCCCACAGCATAGAATAAGAGTGATACGTGTGCTTGTCAGATGGTCCCTGTGATCCGTTTGAGGGCAAGTGCTGTGCTCTTCATCTTTGTATCCCTCATGTAGCTTGGCACAGTGCCCGGTATATAGTAGGTGCTCAGGAAATACTTACCTAGGCCTGAGGTCTGCCTTTCTCCAATAAAGAGTTTCAAATTTGAAAAAATATTTGCTCTGTGCAAGTTGTGGAACTTTGTGGTTACATTTTTTTCCCAAAAAAATTTATTATGCAAAATTTCAAGCATAACGCAAAGTTAGCAAAATTTTACAGTGGACACTTATTACTCACTAGCTAGACTCTACCACTAATATTTTTTCTTTACTGGCTTTATCCATCCCTCACCTCTCCATCTCTCCATCTGTCTATCTACCCATTTCTTTTTTTCTTTTTGAAGCTGCAGACATCAGTACATTTCACTCCTAAGCACTTTCCACACAGCTATCCTTCACTAGACTTCAATATTTTATTATTATTATTACTTTCCTTTTGAGGTAAAATAGATGTACAATGAAATACACAAAGATAAATTGTACATTTGCTGATTTTTGACAAGTGTAACTGTAAATTAAACCCCTACCAAGATATAAAATATTAAACACAACTCAAGAAATATTCCTCTTGTCCCTTCTGGGTAAACCCCTCCCTTCACCCCCAGAGGCAACCACTGTTCCTGAATTTTTTTCCACAATTGATTAGTATTGCCTGTTATAGAACTTCATATAAATGGAATCATATAGTATGCACTCTTTTGTATACGACTTCCTTTGCTCAGCATGATGTTTTTGAGAATCATCCATGTCGTTGCGAGTATTAGTACTTTGTTCCTTTGTATTGCTGAGTAGTGCCCCATTGTATGATGATACCACAGTTTGTTTGTACATTATCCATTTATCCATTATCCACTCTCCTACCAATAGACATTCCGTTTCTGGCTACTAAGAATAAAGTTGCTATGAATGTTCTCATATAGACCCTTTTGTGGACATATGTTTTCCTTTTTCTTGGGTAAATAACTAGGAGTGGGAATGCTGCAGCATAGTTTAGTTTTACGAGAAGCTGCCTTTTCCCAAAGTGGTTGTATCTTTTTATATTCCCATCAACTATGTCTGAGGATTGCAACTGTTTGTGGTTACTTTTGTAACTTTCTGCTTCAATTGCATACTTAGCCTTGTCATGTACCCATGAAATATTTACCCTTATACTTTTTTTTTTTAATTAGGGAATTGGGAGAGGGGAACAGTAGTGTTGGGGAATTGGGGAAGAGGACCAGCCAAGTTGTTGTTCTTCAGTCTTAGTTGTGGAGGGTGCCAGTCACCATCTGGCTTCCTGTCAGCAGCTCGTGGTCTCTAAGCTCAAGTTGTTGTGTTCAATCTTATTTGTGGGTGGGCATAGCCACCATCCCATGCGGAAGTCGAACCAGCAGCCTTGTTGTTAAGAGCGCACGCTCTATCCACTGAGCCATCCGGGCGGCAGCTCAGCTCATGGTGCCAAGTTCAGTCTTAGTTGCA